ATATAAATTTTGAGCAAGCTCATTTGAAGTCAGTTAATTGAGTATTTATTCAAAAAAGAGAGCACGCTTGCTTAACAGCACACTAATAGGGACAGTTACCCTACGTATGTATCATACACACGCCGGGGTTGGCTATCACGTTTAGGTAAGACACGAGTTTGTCGACACGGACCGGATGAGGAAAACGATACGATTCAACTAACTTTGTTCGCTATTCGCTCTCGAATATCTACACGTAGATCGGTCGAAACGGAATCATCATAGTTAATCTCCTGAATAGTGGTAAATAAAATTACGAATACTAGCAAATCAAATATACGGCTACGGTTTCCGCTTGTTAAACATCGTTTAGCATTTTTTTTTTATCTCTCTTTGTATAAAAAAGAGTTATAAAAACTTTGCGAACAAATTCGTGAAAATTGTAATTAAAACGTTTTGAACGCTTTTAACCCTTTCGCTGCAGCAAAGTCTAATGCAGAGCACGCGTGACAGACGGTAAAACTTTTTGCTAGCGCGCAAAGTACAAAAATTTCGTTAAAAGTATAAAAATTGTCGAAACACCGAATTATATTGCATTAAAGATATAAGGATTAATATAAAACATATGAATACCGATAATAAATATCAAACGTATACATACGCCTACAACAGTGAAAGAGTTAATGCTGCAAATATAAGGCAATAAAAAAATTAAGATAAAAAAATTATATTCAAAAAGATGACATCTCTCTCAAATTTGTTGTTATCATTCGTTAATCTCAAACATACATGTGTCAAAAATATTTTGTTGTCAGAAAAAAACCAAACGTTATGCAAACGTTGATCATTGTTCTCATTTCAAAAGATTCGATGTTCGATGCATCTGTTGCTTTCGTAATACAATGTCAAAGATAGTTTTGTTGAAATGTACACATTAGAACAGTATTAATCGATTCCAGAACATTACGTAACGTCAATAGGTGTTCCGAGCAGTCGGTAACCTAAGTAAAGGAGTCGGAGAAACTTGCGTATTTCTCGAAATATCGAAGGGTAAGAGCAGACGTGAATAATTAATCGCAAGTCGAGTATGAAGCGAACCGCATAAACTTGAGAAGAGAGAGAGAGAGAGAGAGAAAGAGGGAGAGAGAGAGTTGGGAAGAGAAGTTAATCGTTGTATAATGTTTAGTAAATTAGAACCGAGGATATTGCGACTATTTGCTTTGATGATCGATCCGGCACGAAAACGAGTATCAAATTAACATATCAGCAAAAATGTACCTATATTTGTTTAGTTTCTCTCTCTCTTTCTCTCAAAGAACTAGCTTTATATTCTATGTATCTCTTTTCTCCTTCAAAACTATATTACAATTCTATCTGTGTTGTCAACTGTAACGGAGATCAAAGCGATAGAACGTTTCCTTTCTCTCTCTCTCTCTCTTTCAATGTCAGTCCGATATAATGCTGCTTCAGAGATATATTGCTATTATCTACGTATAAGACACACGTTATAAAATATAAAATACGACGGAACACACAGAGAGAAGAAAGAACGTTGAGGGCTGTAACATTATCAGAAGTTCCGTGTAGTCGCGTAAGCGTTTTATCTTGTCTTTTTTTTTTTAGAGTATATTAAAATTCCATTTACGAAAGTCACCGTTTGTAACCGAGATCAAAGGCGCAAAATGTTTTTCACCACATTCGCGTGCGGATGTTATTCTTCGCTTGGGGATTATTTAGCAAGGCACGTATAAAATGTGATTTAGGCATTATAAGCGGGATTGGAGCATTACGTAACATTTCATAAAATATTTTTTATACCAAACATAGCGAAACAATAACCGGAGAGAGTGCGAGTCTTTTACTATAACAAAATAGTTATTTGATTTACGATTATGCAACAACACACAACTGGACGTTGCAGCGTACACAAAAGAATATTCAACTTTTTATCACACACGTATACTACATGTATTGCGTATGTAAACTGCTAAAACAATGTGTAAGCAAATATGAGTAATAATTAAATCTGCCAATTACACATTCATTTTGAGTAAATGCAAAACTACGATATTCGGATCCGTCTGATTTACATTTTTTTGTATATTATTTCATTACCTTTTTTTATCAAGTATGAAAATACATGTAGGTGATTTTTTTCGAGTGTAAAAAGTCTAATTAAAACGAACAAACCTATTGCGTGTAAATGCGTTCATCCTTCCTCGATAATATATGATACAGCAAGATGATCCACTTTGCTCTCCGCTTACAATTACGCGCCGTAATGGACGTCACGATGATTATCCTCGCCGTAACGCCGAACCTCATAACAGGAACGCCAAAGTCCATGGAAATACACGCCCACGCACGCCGCCATCACTGCGAACAAATTAATTTATCATTTCGCAGTTACGGTCAACAACATTTTGGGGAAATAATGGCTAGTAATAAAAGCACGTACCTCAGCTAGATCCAATCGGGAGGGAACAGAGTGAAGTGAGCCCCGCGACAAATCGTTAGGCCGGATCTACAGCAATCGCAAAAGTTGCAAGTGTGACCAATCGAATCGAATCGCATCGCAATCGAATATCTTATGGAGATTTTGTAAATGCAATTTGCGACCGCGATTTCGCGACAGATTCGGCCTAAGATTAGGTTTTCGATAGAAACGCGACGAAGCGATTGATTGCAAAACACTTTTGACTTATCGAAAATTGATGCAACTCGATATGCGGAGATATTAATAAAGGAACCGAGTGTATACGGAGTTCACTGAATGTGAAGCGGAGGAAACTACAGAAGTAGGCGCGCGAGAAAGAGAGAGAGGAGAAAGAGAAATAAACGAACGCGCAAAGTGACGGAGACGCGGAAAAGAAAGGAACGCGAAGGAGAGGAGAGAAAGCAGCGCGCGGGTGGTTGCCGGCGGGACGGATCGAGCGAGAAGGCGCACAGATGCGGTACGTTAACAGATAAAGCGGAGAGAGAAAAGGAAGTTCGAAAGGGACGGGCAGACGCGCACGGAGTGAGAGCGGAGAGAGACCTTTGAGCGCGAAAGAGCGCGTCGTAGAACAAGGACGGAACGTACGCCGCATGCGCGCAGCATGGGTGTATCTTGGGCTTTCCCCCTCCCCCGCGGCTGCCCTCGCACGCCCCCTCATGGCTCGATTCAGTCACCGGGCCGATTCGCAAGCGTAGGGATACCGCGCTTTTTCGCTCCGCGACGTTCTCGGGCCGTTGTCAACTTTTGCAGAAATCGTTTGCGCGTTTTTTCGTGAGCAACGGAGCTGTGCGATCCGTGATCGACGCGATAAAACGGCGTCGCCGCTGCCGGGGGGCCGCGACGTTCCAGCGCGCGCAGCGTGTGCCGCCGTGCGTCGTCCGTTCCCCCGTGTCGAGAAGAGAGAGAGAGAGAGACAGACTGACAGATTCAACGTGAGAGGGGAAGAGACGTGCGCGCGAGAGTGCCCCAGTTTCGGTGCGGTCACATGTGGACGTCGAGCGGTGTAGCGCCGCGGGGAAAAAAGAACAACGGTGCTAAAGTTCGCTCCCTGTCGTTCGGCAGGCGTCTTCTTCGTTCGAGGATACGCGGCGATATCTCAGTCGAGTGTGACAAACTCGTGTACATTTTATTTTGTGTGTGAATAATTCGTTTCGTGCTGAGAATCAACGTCAATCAGAGGTATGAAATTGTCGAGCGTCGTGATTAGTGTCGGCGTCGGTATGAAGTTGGCCACGCGCGACCGATGACGATTGGTCAGTTCGGCGGGCACGAGCAGCTCCGAATTCAAACGAGACGCGTGCCTCACTTCCACTCGGTAGCTCCGTTACGTCGCGAACCGCTACGCTGATCGTCCCAATGGCGATGTGCCGATGTGTGTTTTCGCGCGTGTTTATGTTTACGTGACCGCGTGAAGAGTTTTCCCGTGCGCCCGCGGAATCGTGCGTTTTCCAACGGTGTGCACAGTGCAAAGTGGATGCGCTCCTCGGTGACATTTATTATTCGACGAGGAGATTCAAGAATCCGCGACGACAAGCCTCTGGCGAACGCTTCGATGCGATTTTATCGACGCGTTCATTCTCGCTTTCATTAGCTTCCGCGCAATTAATTTGTCACATCGCTGCTGAGTGTGCAAAAAACCGGGACGCGATTGACAGGCGAGAAATTTGAAGCAGTTCTTGTAGTCGGAGAAGTCACTTGGAACACGAGATCGATCGAGTAAGTACTTCAAGGTCACACGCAGGATCTTATCTGCGCTCAGCGATCGCAAAATCACTTGTTCGCGTCATGATAGAAATTTATTATTTAAAATCGAGCATAAAAATAAGAAATTCTCTTATCACATTTTCCTGCGATGCAGCGTTACGTGTTTTTTTGTTTTGATAAAAGTTCAACACACGCACACAAGATTGAAGCATTGTTTTTTTCGGGGGAACAAGGTCGAGGTGTTTACGAACGTTCGTCGCGTTCGTTCTGCGGTATTTTCTACCTTGCACAATTTATTATTCGTGTTTAATTTATTATCTCCAACGATGTGAGATTTTAAATAATAATACTAAATATATATACGAAGAGAATATTTTAGAATTTCTGCACATAGAAATAATTAAAATATTGTTGTGCAGGTAATATTTAATCAGAGTGGAGAGGTTACTATAATCAAGAATAAATCAATTGTTGTTTCACGATTTATTTATTTTTATTGAATTTGTGTTTTATAGAATTTTTGCTGATTTTGCTCTGAAATGTTTTGTTGCAGTCTTGAGTTTAAATTAATCCCCCACTTTGATATTGCGACATTGTATTCTCTGTGTGTATATATGTATGTATATATACATATACGTAGTGTATATATAAATAATGTATATATAAATAGTTAAAATTATATACATACGTAGAGTTATATATTAATACGTGACAATATTTATTTTGCACTTTTGTTAGCACTCGCAAACAAAGTCAGTGAAATAAATACGGTAATACTGTTATCTCGATTGATTGTTAATCATTTTCGAGAGCGCAATTTCTCTATTAAATTATTTCTACTACGTTTTCAATGTAAATTGAATGTTTAAAAATTGCATGATTGTTTAACGATATATATTTTTGATATCGCGAGTTTGTTGATGTTCAAGCAATGTCGTTCGTACATAAATTATATTTTTTCAACAATTTTGTACGGTTGCTCTTAAACGTTCTTATTGTGTTACCATCGTGCAATTGTATAGGTGTTAAATAACTTCTTTTCGATGTGTTGGCAATTCCAAATTGCTTTTCACATACATACACGTCAAATTCAGAATGGTACGATCTCGCGCGTCGATGGTGTGAGAAGAAGAATGCAGTCGACATTGACTGCCTTTTAGAAGTGCATCTCGTGTCGTTATCCCGCGCGTGCAAACGACAGCGTGTACGGAGTATTAAGTTATGGAGCTTTCATTACGTCTATGTGTCTTGTGCTCCGGTAAATATGTCCTATATGTGCATATATACAGGATGTCCGTCCGCGTGAGGAGATACAGTCCAGCTGTTCCACGCGCTCAAATACGGTTGCCAGGTACGCGGCGACTTTCTCAATGAGAAGAGTAAATAAAACTGTACATAATAACAAACGCAATGTAAAAATTTATTGTTACATATGTCTTCTCACGCAGAGACGCACGATTATTTATTACGGATCTCTATTATATAATAATTCATTAATTATTGCGAATCTCCGCAAAATGACGGATTTTTTGACTCAGCACAATCCGCTTTATCTTCTTCACGAGAAGTAGCACGTTTATTATCGGACACCTTGTATACGCGCACGACGACGTCGTATCTCGTAGTCCCGAAATGACCCACTCGCAATGACATCTCTAATATATCATGGCAAATATTTGTTCTTGTGTTCCCTGTATCGTGCTTATCCTTCTCGCAACATTCTCCTCCCACACGTAATTCGCAATGTAGATAGATATAACCGGCTGTATTTCGGATTAAATGAGAGATATACGTTTATATTTTGGATTGCGATGTATTGCGCTACGCAGCGTCGAAAAGTGCGCCAAAATTGCTTTTTCATGCCGATATGCATTATGAAATTTACTCGCCGAGAATGCAGCGCTATACATATATACATATCGTTTACGGAAAAACAAAAATAATATATATTTTCGCGGAGTACAACGATGCCGATTTTTCGCGGATATTTTCACATCGCATTCCTCGCGCGCGAGCGCGTGTGTGTGATTAGTTTTTCAATGCTCTCGCGTAGCAGATTACCACTCCACATGCATTTGTGTGTGCTACTTTTCTTGCTCTCTCTCTTTCTCTCTCTCTCTCTCTTGCTCTCGCTGTCTCTTTCCGCTTTTCGCTTTCATGACCTGAATTTTCACTCTTCGATTACGCGCGAGTTACAATGGCCTTTGTCGGTTCTTCGTTTTCGTTATCGCTATTCTATCCCCTCCTTTCTCTTTTTTTTTTAAAGACCGGATAGGGTGAAGCCAGGGATAGAGGTTGACACGGCGCTCGCCCGATTACAAATGTGAAATCGATCTCTCATTGTCGGAGAATCGACGAGGCACGGCGCGACCAGGCCGCTACTGCTGCTGCTGCTGCTGCTGCTGCTGCTGCTGCTGCTGCTAAATCGATTCTCGGTAGATAGGGCCGAACGAACGAACGAACGAATAAACGGCCCTCCTCGTTTCCGAGGAAGAACGAAGTCTCGTTAGTCACGCTGGTAATCAAGGCTTCGCTTCGATTTCTGTTCGAATTGCTCTCGATGTGTTTGTCTCTACGGAAAAGGATTCTTTAACGAAATCCGTTACTATATTCGTGAAAACGTGTTTTATGCAAATCAGTCTTCTTATTTGCCAAGAATTGAAGTACCGCGACTAATATAAGCGCGAGAAGAAGAGATATGTATACATGTATAAGTGCTTTGACATTAAAGCATACAAAATTCTGGAGTTTACTGTGAATAAGATGCAACATTTGATCGTGCGAATTGTAAGCTCCGCGTCTCAATTGTGAGTTTCAGCCGCGAGATCGTTAAGCGTCTTTCTCCTCAGCTTTCTCGAGGATCAAATACGCTATTCGTTGAATTCAGCGTTGTCGAATTCAGCTACCGCGCCTTGCACGAAAATGCGGTCAAGTGTATTTCGCTGACTCAATTACCGCGGTAAGCGGTCAAAATATCTTACTTTTGCTGACTGAATTATAAACTGACTGTTTTCGCATGTGTGTCTAGTGCTTGTGTAAACGTATACTTTATTTAGTTAAAGAGTATATCAATGTGCTGCGCGTGTGTGCGCGCGGTTAGCATACATGTTGCGGGTACATCCCCGATCAAAGTACGCGCTTTATAATCAGCAACGTTTTCGACCAGCGTGTTCTCCCTCTTGGCTCTTGCTCGTACCAATAACAATCGGGAAGCCGGCAATCTCGAAAGCTCAAACAGACAATCACTTCTAAATACAGTTCGAGGGTGTTTTGATTCGAAACACTCCAACACGGAATTGCTTTGGTCGCGCGGCTATTTAACCAGTGAACGACTTCAAAGTCGCTTGAAATGTTTACTCACGAGCGTGAAAGCGAGCGAGAAAGAGAGAGGGAGAGAACACGCAAAATGCATAGTGCGGAACATGAGAATGAGAAATCAAGTATTCAACGTGGACGTTAGAAAAGTTGATTTCTGCAAATTCCGTAAATCCGATACGCAAAGAAAAAACACGGCACACGAATTATCGTCCGGTAATGTAAATTGAGTTCGTTCGGATTGCTCTTATATCTTTCATGAGCTTCATAATCGCGTGAAATGACACGACGTAACGAAGATGAAAACAATCGTTTTGTCTCACAAAATGTTTCTTATCGCATTCGCATCTATCTCAGAAATCTCGCTCACACTGTTGTCTCGTTAACTCGATCGTGAATAATTTTCCCTTCCCTTCCCGCAAGCGCCTTTCTCGCTCCGATTGCATTTATTCTCCGACGACGAAGGAGTATGCGCCGCTCTGTTGTGTGTTTCGCGCGCGCGATTGTAAATTAAATTTCGGAATCACCCAGTGAAATCTGAATTAATGCATTTACTTCGCCCACTCTCGATGTCTTTGAACATCTATTGCGAAAAGTTTGACCAGAGAACGCGGAGCAAAGAGAGAGAAATGGAAAACACCGATGAGAAAGTTTATTTAATAGGAGTAGTACAAAGTACGATTGTCGCGCCGGTTTCCATGGCGTCGTTGCCGCTCGCGCGTACTCTCTCGTACGCACGAGACCTTCTATTCTCTCATAGACACCGTAACCCCGGTGCCGTTACTGCACAGGTATTGGAAAATAATGAAGAATTTCGCCCTCGCAGCTGTTGTATCACCGCGCGCGCGGTTCAATGGCGGTCTGTCGATGACAACGAGGTAATTACTTTTCAAACAGCAGACGTGCAAATGAACGGCGGTTTAATCTGTCGATAATATCCCGAGCATCGTTACCGTTTTTATTTCCCTTCTCTCTGCACGTTCCAACACGGAAGCGGCCAACCCCGCGCTCTGTGTGTCCGGCTCCGCGCGCGCGCGCGCAAATTCTCCGCGCAGATTTAATCCGCTCACAAAGATTGCCATACACGAGCAAAACGAAATAGTTTTTTCACCACTGTGTTGGATTATATTCTCTCTTTTTTGGTTTTCGATCGTGGTTTTCGACATCCGACTACATGCCCCGCGGTTAAAACGAGACCTGGGAAATGGTTTGTCTCTTGACTTGTTTCGCGCATTTCACGAAGTAAAAGGTAAAGAACGACTCTATGTGAGTAATAAATTATATATATATATATAAAAAAAGTGACCGCACATTCTGTACCTCGGTCGCATTTCTTTTCAGGAAACGTGTATCGGTTGTATAGCGCGCACGTGCGTTTGTCAGTCAACCGACGATCGTTTTATTCGAATTTAATGGTCGTTTGTACAGCGCGAACTCTCTTAAACTGTCGTACTTTTCTCCGCTGCGCGCGCTGACAAACACCGGTGTAGTGTTATTGCGACAAAAACAATTTAAGGCCCGTGGCAGTGGCGTGCCTTTCGATAAATCATGACTTATTGAACGCGCGGCTCAGTTTTGAAGCTCACTCACGAGGGGGCCACGTCGCTCGTGCGCCGTGATACGTCATAAGTCACAGCTGGTAGCACATTGCGACGACATCATCCCCTGCTTGCTTGCCTGCCTGCCTTTCTGTCTGC